ACCAGAAACTCGGATTGAAAACAGTCAAGAAGTCGAAGCGCTGCGTCTAAAGCTCGCACACTTGCGTGAGCACTTGAAGAACCTCAACGCCAATATTGAGCGCGTTGCCCGCTTGGTTGTGCGCAAGAGAGAGCGCGAGCTACAGATTCGGCGGCGACGCGCGGCACCGACCGACGTCGTCATGACATCGTTTTTAGATCAAGTCGACTGGAACCTCGAGACCTAGTGTGCTGTCAAACGTTAGTTAATGTTCGTTTACAAGTGTCGTATCGTCCTAGCGATTCGAGTTGCTACGGAAAGAACCATCAAATGTACACAATCGTGCTTCATATAATACCCGCAAGTTCTATGGCCCTTAATGACAGCGAGTACTGCAGTGTCGAGTCACTCTGGTCTTTCTCATGGCATAAATACATACATGTGCAAGTTGACAATCGACAGAACTGGTGTTTATTACGGGAATCAACACAGCGTTTCGAGAAATGCAGATACTTATTGCGCTATTGAAAGGCCCGGCGAGCGAATGACCAACGAGATTGCTACTGTACGTTTGAGCAAAAAAAACTTCGTGCGCGAGGCTTGCAAGTGTACAAACTTCCAGCCAGATCTAGGACGAATTACGCAAATGTAAGACATAGAGTCGTTGCACAATAATTTTATGCAACGAGTCCATGTGTTCCATTTGCACATATTGTCATGTGAGTTGCCAGAAGTACGTTGAAAAGTTTGCACTGATCACTATTTATAATAATACGCCTTTTAAATATCGCCACATTTTTATAGAGGACGAAAAAAACACCATCACTAATAATATTCGAAATAATACGCGAGTCACACGTTGATTACAGTCTTTCTCGTTTTTTATTTGCCTCGATTTTAATGTGAAATCGATCATAAAGTCGCCCAGTCAATTTGAAAATACCCGCGTTCAGCCATAATAATGTGTTTCCTTCCAGTGCTTCTCAAGCGATCAAAACTCATTGAAATTGAGAATGGATTCCGCCATACGCGTATTCAATTCAGGACCTTTCTGAATATAAAAAAATCAGCTCAATCGGCCCATTTTTGAGGGAGCAGAAGTTTTTTTTGCTCAAACGTACAGTAGTCTCTACGTATGCGAACAGGTTCATATATACTAGTATATATATTGAAAGTCAACTTCACTTGACGATGGACTACATAGAAAAAGAAACCCATAGTGGTAATCCCGGTAATAAAGTACACCGCCTGGCAAGTATATAAATTGAAAGTCAATTCGGCGACGCCAGTGTGCACACATGCCATCCCGTCGGTGCCAACGCATGGAAACTGTCGATGACCTTTGCGTGGTGCTGCACGAGCCCATGAATTCCGTACATGCGCACGGATGCATGCACAACGCTGTCGGTATCCATTTGCTTTCTCCAGTACACATGGACGTCCAGTCGCATCTCTACTCTCGCATCAGAAGAAGCTTGCACACGATATGGGACGTACTCGGTGTCGTCCTAATGCGAAGCACTTGGGCTTCGTCTGGCGCGTTTTGTAGCAGTTTACACTCGCACCACGGCCCCACCTAGTGCAAGGAATCAGGTATTAAATATGATACAAAATGATGCACCTCGCGAAGGTACGAGGACGCTTGCACAACGCCACAGTCGTCGGTAGCGTCAACATGCAGCACGAGAACATTCAACGTCGATGTTTGCAAGACGATCCAGAGCTCGTCGGGAAACCGCACATGGGGGCACAAGAACAGTGGAAGAATTGTCAAAGTGCCCGGTGACGCGGTGAGAGGAATGTACACGGGATGGGCGTCCTCGAGGTAGCCCGGTACGCTCGCCCGCGCCATGTAAGGGCCGAGGGCCAGCCGTCCACTGGGCGCTAACCGAGCAACAGGCCCCGACGCATCGGACAAATCGACGCTGACGCGATCGACGAGGTGTCCCGTGTCGATGCAGACAACGCGGCAACGCACCGGCGCCGGGTGTCGCTCGACGGGGAGCATTACGAGAGGTGTTTCCTTGCCGTCGGTTTCAACCTGCAGAGGCACGTACTTGGACGTGATACCTCTTGTTGGTAGCTTGGAGAGAACGTGCACCGAGTACGCGCCTCGGAGCAGCGCCGCAGTCGCTTGCCCTCGACCGTCCGTTTTTATAATCTGACGACGCGCCCCACAAGAAGCACTCGCAATGATTTCGATGGATACATCCCGGACGCAGAGATGGGATTCCCCGGTTGTCTACGTGTCGTGTTCATCGGTGTCTCTCGACGCACATGACAAAGTAGTATGTACCTGCAACTGAAACATGACGGGGTGCCGCTTGGGTACCATACGAACGACGAGTGGGCGAGGTGTCCGGAACGGATAGAGCGTGCACTGCACGGTCGACGCTTCGTACGCCGGGTGCGTCGCCCGAAAGATGTGCATGGTTTCGGGCTGCAATCGCACCGGCGGCAGTGGCCAGAGACCGCAACTGCTGCTGTGGTTGGCGCGCTCTTTGCGTTGAAGCTGCTCGGCAATGATGCGCCAGTCCTGCACCCAATCTTCCTCTACGAGCGGCCGCCTCGTCGGCGTGGCCAACGCATCGTGCTCCAGACCCGAATTTGCGAGCCCTACGGGCGATACCAGCGCCAAGCAGGACCCGTCGCATGCGGTACCTTGCAAGAGAAGTTCTTTCTCACTCGACGAGAGCGTCAGGCGTGGCGACGTGATGTTGTACTGTCGCACGATACGATGCGGCGGTAGCTGCACCGCTTCTCGCTTCCACTGCTGGACCTTGACCAAAATGGCTTGCTGAATCTTCCAAACCCGGCGCCTATGAAACAAGGCTACCTGGTACAAAGTCAAGTGACGGGCACATACCGCATGACACGACGCAAGAGCATGACGGCGGCCATCAATTGCCGGTCTTTGCGAAGAATCTGGACGTGGTGCTGCACAGCCCGTGTCATGGCCACTTGGACCACGCGCTCCACAAGCGCCATTGCGAGAGCGTGCTGGGCTTGCTCGCGGCGGCGCTCCTGCACGAAATGTGCTTTTTCTAGTCATAGAAAAGTCGGTCGACATACGACGAACGTGTATCTTCTCACGCTGAAGACGTATGGCGATCGAGACGGGCAGTTGTGTCGCGATCGGCGGCTTGTACTGCAACACGCTGCCGGCGAGTGCTTCGTATGAGATTTGGACATTTGAAATTGGCTTGGAGGTCTCGGCGTCGACAAACAAGAGACTCGTCGAGACGGCGGTTTCTGGTGGCAGTGACGCTGTTTTGTGCTTGATCGGGCTGCTGCGTAGTGGCATGTACCTACATCGTCATAATGAGCGCTTATATCGGTCCAGAGGGCTACCATCCACGGGTCTCTATGGCATCTCGGAGCTTTTCTTGGATCTGGCGCAGTGCCGGCAGGGGCGCCGGGTCGTGCAGTGACTGCTGAAAGAGCAGAATCGCGGGGTCGCTCGAGCTCTGAAGAAGAATGCGCACGCCGGGTTGCGTCGCCGAGGCCGGCAATGTCGGCATCCGCTCGATCGCGAGCGTCTCGTATTGTGCTTGGAGATGTTTTTCCAGTCGCCTTGCGTACTCGACGTACTTGTGCTCGGCTGTCGCGTATTGGATGCGTAGCGTGTACGTCAGTGCCAACTTTGCCTGAACGAGCGTCCGCAGCGACTGGAGCAGCGTCAACGACGGCGAGAACGCGTCACCGAGCGCCACAAGCTGCCACTCGAACGTTGATTTGCACCGGCATAATGCGCAAAGCGCCACCGTGCTGGCGCCATGCGGCAGAGTAACGCAAAAGTGCGCACAGAGGTTGCTGGAAGGGCCGTGGGCGCCGTCGACTGAGACCCATTTTACAACGAGTGGCTGGTGTCGTGCCATCACCGTCGTCGTTTGCACGAGAAATAGCATCGCATGCACGTGCGGGTGCAACGACGCCATCTTGAGGTCGATCTACATGTCGCATTTGGAACCACCAGCGCAATCGGCTGCGTATTCATACCGTCTCGACGGTCGACGCAAAGGTCGTCGTCGATGACAGCTGTAGAGCGTGGTCGTCCGAGCTCTGTATCGACGAGTGTAGGCTTTCGAGGAGCTCCCAGCGGACGTCCAATGTGTAGCAAGCAAGACTAAAGCCGGGCAAACCCGACACTTGGAGTTGAAGTTGCTGGGACGGTGGAAACGAGTAGACACCGGTGCGCGTCGGCACGTGCTGGTTGGGACGGTACAAGTTTGCAGGGTGGGCTCGGTACGCTCGAGGTAGCGTCTATGCAATAAGATGATGCTATCATTTTGCATCCTTGAGGGAGTACCTGAAAGCGCTGCAGTGCATCGACGAGCGTCAACATATCCGTATCGTCCACGAAGCAACCGACGCCATCAAAATACTTGAGCAGTCGCTTGCTGGAAAATGGTGGTTGAAGGACGGCCATGGTCTCGGCGTGCTGTGACGACGCGAGCGTCACCATGCGACGAAGCGTTTGCTGGACCACAGTCTCGTACGGCGCTCTACACTCATGTCAGCTCTACCTTTTGTAGTGCGAGGATACCGGAGGCTTTCAGTGTGCAGTAGTTGCTGGAGCTTCCGCTGCAGTGTCGCAATCTCGGGCATCGACTGCGACTCGAGCTGCGAGTGCAAACAAATATGCTGTGGCGGCCCCGACCGCGCGATATGGCAGAAAACTTCAAAGCTATTGGGGCGCGGGTAGGGTCGCCAGCTACTCCGACAGATGCCCAAAGTGCACACAACACGCTACACGGCAGTACCTCTCGGGGTTGCAGAGCACAGGTGTCGAGGCATACGTTGCCCAGAGGTTTCGAATGTCGCTGATGCGGTCAAAGGCGGTCGGTCCCGACGGGCGCCGTGTCGCGTCGCGGTGATGATCGTCTCTGCTGACTGCAAACTCGAGCACCAGCTCAAAGACACTACCGCGCGCGCGAAACTGCTCGAGGACCTCTGACCATGGAAGGGCGTCGCGTCGACTTGCATCACAACCGCTACTTACTGCGTTCGTTCGGCAAATCATCTACGTACTGACGTACCTTGTCGAGTTGAAGTCGTCCATGTAGATGACTGCGGGCGAAAGGGGTCGGGGCAGCGCGTGCTGGCGCCAAGCAACTCGCCCGGAGGTCGTAAAGGAAAGCAACCGACCGGTTGCACTCTGTGCCGTGTCGTACAGATGGTCAGGTGTCGAGAACGAAACGTCGAGAAGGCGCGTTGAGTCGGCCGCCGTCGTCACAGTATAGTCACATCGATGCAATGTAGCCACGTCATTGGACGTCAATGCACGAGCCCAGACGCGTATCTGTAGAAGCAATGACGACGACGCATGCATCATGTATAAAGACGTACTTGAGAAACGAGACCGTGGAGTCCTTTGGTGGACGGCGACGCACTCCCAACGGATACCTTTGGTGGGGTTACAGTGTCAGCCACCGGTACAATTTGTCGGCGGTAGACCGTG